ACTTACGCGGTAACTGACCCTCGCTATGTAAGGCCTTAGTAAGTGTCTTACTGTTTCGGATGCTGGCCGACTACCTTAAACTCAAGCGATGACTGCCCGTCGATCGGGACCTTTCCTAAGAGTGACTAGCCACCATGATTAGTACTGATGATACCTGACCCACAGGCGCCCTTGGGGTAGCCCGCCGATAGCCAGACCAACAATTGAACAAGCAACCCTTCCTCATCGGTGGTGAAGCTGTGACCATAGACTAGCAGTAGTGTTCCCGGCACTACAGTGATGAATGGGTTTGTGAGGCTTGGGCCAACATAATGTCCTCCAGCTCAACCACGGGCTGCTTGGACACAATACCTTGATCGCCCTACTGCTCAGAGCAATGGTCTCAACAATGCAACCATCATGAGCAACATGTGAGCGTATCGCTCTTGTAATGAATTTTCTATAAAGTGTGACTCAAGGCCCACTCTGACAACACATTAGCGAGAGAGCTTTCAGTGGTCGAGAGCGGCTCTCAAATCATCATTTGTTATTGTTCTCCGACGGACATCCTTATGCACATGAAAGGGGCAATCTGCCAGTTCTGGCCCATCGATGATGTAGAGCTGCAGTGCAGCATCATTTCATTTTTTTCCTCCTTCTTTTTTACCCACTCCATTGATTGCTTCATTCACCTCTGGCTTGTGATGGCTGTTGCTTGCGTGCTGCATAAAACACTTCCCTTATTCCGCATGGAATGCGCATACTGGTCGGTCTGCCAATGATAAGCGAGGTTGGTCTTTTCTCGCTTTCGGTACGTCCCTGACTCGCGGGCCCGATGGCTAAAGCTCCAGACTCCATACACTACTCCGTAACTTACTGTGCTCTGTGATTAGGCAGCATAACCACGGGCAGAGCTTCAAGCTACCTACCTGCCTCATCGCTCTAAGCCTTAAACGTGATCTGAAGTGCTCCACGTGCGCAGACTCGGAGTCCTGTAGTTGGCTAGTAGTTGACAGCGGTGTCTCACCAGATCAAGCGGCGGCCGCCCTGACACTTCCGAGGCGCGATACTATCCGGAAATGGAAGGTGGATAGCACAGCCTGGAGCTGGAGGAGCTAAAGATCCATTTGATGACATGAGCCCATGTACACGTGACCACGCTTCTCTCCGCGGAGCAGAGCGCACCTGGCACCTGGCAGGGTCAAATTGATACCCATTCAGTATCAGTTAAACCGAACAAAGAGAGCCAGTGACCTAGTGCCCTCTCTGCTCATCTCATCTCTGCGTCCCTGTGCGTAGGTTCTCATATAAAGATCTGCTAACTAGATGCGCCGTTAATTAGTGGGTGTGGAGAAACATACCCCTGGACTGGAAGATGAACATACTACCTATGCGTATCAAAGATGAAGGTAGGTTGGCTGGGGCATTGCTCGCCTGCCATCAGCTACCTGTGCTTGCTCAGAACACGATGGAAGACAGGACCACACAGCTACCATCTACCTTGGTGGACGGTCGATGACCCATGCGATACAATACCAAACCGACATTCGAATTTCAGAAGTGATCAGGGAGGACACTCTGGGATGGAAATGGACATCTTTCAGGTTTCCACACGGCTCTGCGGCTCTGTCTCCGAGCCTCGATGTGGATCGAAGAATGGAGTCATGGATAGGGTTGTCTGGCGCAGGTCGCTATGTTGATACATAAGTCTTGATGCCGGAGGAACGTTCGGAAAACGATTCGGGAACCGCCGCCCCCCATCTCTTGAATCCAGATGTCCCACCCAGAACAGTGGCAGGAAAGACAGCAAGGACGTCCAATGAGAGCATTATCGATTTCCTCTATGGTGAGTTTTTTTGAACCTCGATCCAGTCGGTAGTCACACTAAGAGCAGCTTAAGATAGCTTGCTGTACAGAGATAGACCCAAACTCGGTTCCACTCGCCGCTCTCATGCTGTCTCACTGACGGGTGAGCCACGGAGAGGGTGGGCATGAGCTTGAGTTGGAGATCAAATTAACAGCGTATTTCGCGATCAGCAGCGCAATCAGACGATCCCACTTTGTTCCAACCTGCCGTGAGCATCTGGACTTATGGTAGAAACAAAGTACAGTACGTACAGTACGTACGTAGTGGTATAGTTACTGACTGGCTCCGGGTCCGGCCCGGTTCTCGGATTGCCAAGCAGATTGTTGTACTCGGTAGGTGTATTTCGACCAGACCAACAGCAACAACAATCTTAAGTGGGCCACTACTCGGGCGATCAACAAGTCATGGATGATGGACGTGATGGGAGGCTTTGCATCAAAGTCAATAAAATAATATTATTCTGCGCCAAAAAAAAAAGAAAGAGAAAAAAAACCAAATAAAAAGGGTAAGAAGTCTCATCCAGAATAAAAGCACCAATAGGATAAATCAAGACACTTTCCCCAAGGTAACATCACTTGAGCAAGCAGCAGCAGCAGCAACAGACCATGAACAGACAAAGACCACTGTTCAATTGTCGGGACTTCGCTTGAGCCATTCATTGACATGGTGAATGTCTCAAGATCGATATACCTACTGTCTTCGGCCGGAGATCCCGCCAAGAATTAGCTATTGAATCTGGACGACTCGTGAGGGTTTATTCTCCTTCTCTATGGGGAGTCGCTATCCCTTTACCAGATTGGGCCCAATGCAGGCCCATCTTCAGCATGCCGTAATATCTCGACGCTTTCTGTCATGAGTACTCCGTAGTCTACAGAGTATAATCTATTTATGAGTATGCTGACGGTTAGATTACTTTTTGCCTCTCTACTTGCGTTGCTTTGCCACTATGGCCAAAGGTTACATGTTCCATGCATATTCTACGCCTGCTCTAAAAGCAGGTCAGGCTGAGAAGCGTGTCGGTCAGTCGGTCGGTCGGTTGGCGAGGCACGGACTAAGGTAGGTAGGTAGGCATGGGCATGGGCATGGGCATTATTGGGGGCTAGCTGACCAGCGTCGGTTCATGCCATCCATTGTTTCTTATTACGTTACTTCATAGGTGGGTGGACTAGTCCTGTAGTGTCTAGGCTTTCCTTAAGCTTGAGCCTTGGAGTCCTTTGCTTTCCATATTATTATTATTATTATTAACATTCTTTTGTCGATTTGACACTATCGGCGGATATCCCGACTTCCGCATATTGAACCATCAGGACCGCCTAACAGTACCCGAGCCATAAACACAAGTAACACATACATACTTTCTATCTCCTTTTTTTTTTTTTTTTTTTTTACCTTCTTCCTCCCCGGTTCCCCTGACGTTTGTGACTTCGGCGTACCTCTAACCTGATTGGGATAAGCGGGTATTTGCCTAAAGCTGCATTTGCTTCCAGGCCGCTGATTCGCAGTGGATTGGAAAAATGATCCCACTAGTGGCAGGCCTAGCCTAGCGGTATTTGACCGAGACCAAGGAGACCCAGTTTCCGGTACATAGTGATACTTACCGGTATCGTACTGTGGTCGAGATAGTTACAAGTACGGAGTACCCGCAAGAGCTTTGAGGTCCCGCTTACATGAACATACCTCACAAGTAAGTTAGTAACTAACAACTGTACCGTGACTCCGTACTCCGTACCCAACTTTCTTCCTTTGGGGCACACCGAGGTACATTTCAATCTTCATCCCATCTCCCATTCCTCCCACCCATGTCGCGGAAGACCTTGGCTTGCAGAAACCTGCATTGCTCGGCTACTTGATATACTCTTCAGTCTTGCCATGGATGGTAAATGGTGTTAGGGGTCCCTTCCAGTATGATTTATGCTGCCTGGAGCACCCCTGATGATGTTCGAATGACCACACTAAAGAACAACAGCACCACCACTACCACCATCACAACCATCAAGACAACCACAATCATCAACCCCAATTCAGTTGATATATGGACCTCCTGACTCAGTCCACTCAGCGCAGATGAGGTGGGATTGACTTGACCCACATCTGGGAAAATCCGGAGGATTTGTCACGGTGGATTAATTACGCGATTATCTTAGTTATCTTACGGTAAGATAATGCCTCCCACCCTGGATTCTCGCCCACCACTGCGATAACATGACCCTCCTTCCATTCGATCACGTTTTCCCTCTCATAATGGAAACTAGGTATTCAGCCGGAGTCCACTGTCGTTGTGCTTGGGTTGGAAACAGAAACATCTGTCTTGCTTCAACAACTGACCATGCTCTCAAGCCAGTGAAACCATTAGGTCTCGGAAATGATACTCCACATCCTCCCCCGGGACCTTCTAAGACAAGCACGGCAATACGGTAGGAGAGCAAACCGGGCTAAAATCCTCGCAATCTCAAATCATGACTGATAGGCACCACCTTCTTCTCCCCCCCCGCAGTTGAGCCTCTCTCCGACCCCGGACGGGCTTGGCCTCGCTCGCTCGCGGATCGGCAAATCTTGGTCCGGTTAGCATCTGGGGACAAGGCCCTCCTCCATCAACGAGGCAGCTGGCGAATTCTGGATGTCGCCATTTTTGCCGACCTCGGTTAGCAGTTATCAGCTCGCCAAAAAGTGACTCTCTCCTGGTACTCCTGCTGCATCCGAGGCCTCCTCTGCTGACTTACGGCGCAACGCCAATTTGCCGGGGGAGAGGCCTCCGTGGGCAAGCGAAGTCGCAGGTTTGTCTGACGAGTTGACTCTGTCAGGCTCGCGAACGTTTACCTGATGGCACGATGCTCTTCCTCTAGGCGGGGGAAAACCAAGTCAAGCTTTGCGTCTGAGATGCAGGTCGGCTTAGCCAGAGTCCACTGGATGCGCTACCTACAAGATTGACAAGTGGAAAATTATTGTCCGCCTAGCTGCAGCTGCATGGCTGCGAGTTCTCCGCAATCAGGATCTATAGGCGGGGTCGAGTGCGGTGGTTATTATCCAGAGCGCGAGTTCCCTCGCATCTGCAGTGTGTATAAGAAACCGTAGAGACGGCGTTGGGCAGGCCCTGTTTACTTTTCCTACAGACAGCCTTTTACCTTGTGCAAGGACTTCCATTCGAGCCATAGCCATGCTCGCTCTCTGGCAGTGCCTGGCCCTCGCGGCCATCCCTACAGTATCAGCATTCCCCTCCGGTTCGTCTCAGAAGAAGGCGTTCGACTGGGACTCAACGAAATACCTGTTGGTGTTTCCCTGGGCAAGATGCATCCACTACCTCTGGCTGATACTCAAACCTCAGAATAGCGTTCGGTGATTCCTATACGTACGTGCAGGGCACTCACGGACACCAAAACTATAGCTTCATCGGGGATCTGCAGAACTTCGCATATGATGCTCAGACCCTGTTAACGGATAAGATCGTTCAGAACCAGGTTTGAAACCATGTTTCTCTGGCGCTTATCCCGCGGCTATGGCCCAGAAGTTCCATCTCAGTCACTGACCGAACGTCCTGGATGAGATGTAGACAGCAACGGCAGAAGGAGGCCCCAACTGGGTTGAATACCTCACCGGGTGCGGGGTAGAAGATGGAATCATCTCACCCATGGACTGCGAGAGACAACTCTGGGACTTCGCGTTCGCGGGATCTGATATCTCCGTTGCATAGTACGTAACTTACCTCCTTGTAGACGAAGCATAAGACTTGCGGGGAGCTAACACCCCCATCACCCCGACAGCACCCCCCTCCACCACAACTACACCGTCTCCCTCGTCAACCAGGTCACCCAATTCACGACCTACGGCCAGCCGGTCCTCTCGCGGCACATCTCCGCGCCGCAGACCCTTGTCGCCATCTGGATCGGGATCAACGACATCGGCGACAGCGCCAAATACGCCGTCGATTTCCCGGCCTTCTACGACACCCTCATCACCACCCTCTTCGCCTCCGTCCAGGAGATCTACGCCCAGGGCTATCGCTCCTACCTGTTCGTCAACCTGCCGCCCCTCGACCGCACCCCGGGCAACCAGGCCCTGAGCCAGCCCTACCCGAACGCCACGCAGGTCGCCTGGTACAACGACGCGCTGGCCCGGCACGCCGCCGCCTTCCACCGCAACCACACGGACACGGCCGTGCACCTGTTCGACGCGCACCGGACGCTCAGCGAGATCATGGACCACCCCGCGGCGTACGGCATCGTCAACACCACCAACTTCTGCCCCGGGTACGACCAGCCCGATATCGCGTGGAACTACCGGGCGTACGGGTGTCCGACCCCGCTGGAGGAGTACTTCTGGTTCAACTCGGGGCATCTGACGAGCAATGTGCATCGGATTCTTGCGGATGTGTTGGAGGGGGAGCTGAGGGGGTGGTCGAAGTGAGGTTGGTCTGTGGTTGAATGGAGGTGGGGTTGAGGGACTCATTGATGATCCGGTGGGAATACGTCAGTTTCAAACTATGCTTTGTACGCTTTAGTTCAGACTGGTGTAGGTGAGACTCCGTAGCATGATCCATCACAACAATCCCGGACCTGCATGCATTTAAGTTGGGTGTATACCACTGGTATCTGCTTGATACTCCTCGCATATGTCAGTCATCTGGGAAGTCAAATATGCCATCGCGTGAATATACTCTTCTTCCAGACTTTCACCGCATGTTGAGCATACATGCCTACACAGTAAATCTCGAGGGTTGTTTCGCCTTTTACTCTGTGACGTGTGATACCCCCGCGCAGATCTACAAAAGTATATAATCATACGAAGACCCTGCAGACCAGCCAGAGAACAACAACACACAAAGACACAAAGCCCACCACCCTATCAACCACCTCAATACCACAAAAAAAAAAAAAAATAAAAAAATAAAAACAAAACCACAACACCAACCGAACCAAAAGACAAGCCTATCCCCCAGACACCAAAACTCACACCAACCCCCCCAACAAAACCCCCAATACACCCCGGCACCAGAACCAACCTCACAATCAGATAAACAGTAACTCCGGACCCCGCAGATAACCACCAACCTTAGATCCCTCTTGACATCCAACACATTGACAAACCACCACAACCCCCCAGCACCATTGCTATTATTATGTCACCACCATAACAAAGCAAACCATGTTATCAAATTCCAACCCATTTCTCAACAACATCCGATATGGTGTAGTGGCTAACATCGCCGTCTCTCACACGGCAGCCGGGGGTTCGATTCCCCCTATCGGAGCTCATCTTTTTGTATTTTTTTTTTTAGCTGTAGCTTCCTCTTCTACACTTTATTCTGGATTTACTATTTGGCTGCTCTCTCACACAACATCCGATATGGTGTAGTTAGTGGCTAACATCGCCCCGCGATCTTCCATGCTACTACAGCCAGTACCTACCTTCCTTCCACCATAGATCAGAAAAAAAAAGCACCAGACATACAAGAGGCATTCATGCTAGTAAATAGAGCATAAGCAAAAAAAAAAAAAAAAAAAAACCTAAAAACAAAAAGGAATCCAGGGTCGAGGAGACGGATCTGATCATACTCCGGTAGGGGGAATCGAACCTCCGGCTGCCGTGTGAGAGACGGCGATGGGTTGGTAGCCAGCCAGTAGAAGAGAGGAGTTGGGGAGATAGTGCCGTTAAAAGTATGTCTTATGCACTCAGTGTAGTCTAATACCTGGAGCAAGCGAGGCAAGTGAATAACCCCCAATACGTCGCGATTGCGCTGTCGCCCAGATCAAATTACAATTGGATGACTGTCTACTCCGTAGACCGTGACAGTCGGTCACCGATTACTCCATACATTAGCTTCCAGTCCCGGTACCCAGGGCCAAGTATCACGGATGCACATGCTTGGTGGTTTGTTTGCAGCTGCTGCACCTCCCGCCGCTGCAACAGACCAGACCATATATAACATAACGTCTCTCGTATTCCCTTGCAGGCACTAATGCCGGTAGCCCAGCCGTGCGGCCGACTGGCGCATAAGCTGCATGATTGCCGCTGGATCCTATCACCGTCTCAATGAAGCTTTATCAGACATGGATCTATCCTGACACAAATAGTGTCGTTTCGGGATTAATTTCAGATAGGTACGTTTTCTCCAATTATCAGTATGCAAAGGAAAGAAGCTACACACTATCTAAATACCAGCTGTTGCATGTCAAGCCGGAGATACAGAACTTTTGTGATAGAACACACAGAAAACAGAAATTAACGCATACCCACAAACCGGGGTGTGACCGATGACCCCCGATCCCAAGGAACCAAGGTGTCTCCTATATGGTTAAAACACGCAACGTAAAGAGTCTATCGTGATATCGACGAACGCCGCCCGTACCGAATTACGAAAGGGAAAAAGCCGGATAATCATGCGCAGGCAAGGACGAAAGGGAAAGCAGGTCTACCAGTGTGAAAAGATACAAGCTCAGTGACTGAACTGGGCGTCAGGAACAGTTTACCAACGACGGGTGCCGCCGAGGGGAGCGGCGTTGGACGCGGTGTAGTTACCACCACGGCCACGGCCACGGCCACCCCAGCGACCGTGGCCACCGTGGTGACCGCCGCCGCCGCTGTAGCGAACCATCTCAGCAAGACGGGGATCGATCTGCTGCTTAGCCTCAGTGAGAATGGTAACCAAGTCACGAGCCTGCTTAGAGTCTGCAAAGAATGGGTCAGCGCAAGTACATCAAGGAGACAATTAGAGGCCAACTTACTTTCAGTGGTAAAGAAGGTGACAGCGGTTCCCTTGTTTCCGGCACGACCAGTACGACCAATGCGGTGAACGTAGTCCTCGGAGTTGTTGGGGTAGTCATAGTTCAGCACATGGGTGATGTCGCGAACATCTTTAAGAAAACATGTAACGTTAGCAAACAGAGCATTAGTCAAGCGAGCAACGTGGCCGAGGAGGTGCCCATTCTCAGTCGTGTGAGACTTGATGCATCACTCTCTCTTCTTTCGGGACTTTCATCGAAGATCCGTAGTGGACGAGTCCAAGGGGTGGCAAAATCGCGGTCCTAGAGCAACCTTGGAATGCAGCGTTCAATAGGTCGGTAGAGAAAGAACCCCAACTCTCTACCAACCGAGATCACAAGTTGTAGACGGGTGAATCAGAACAGAGATACTAGTAACATCTGCTACACTGCACTGTGAGTCCAAGGTTCTCCTGGCTTGAGAACCATTTCAGGAGACCCGACATAGCCTGGACGAGTCATTTAAACACCAACTTAGGGTGGAAGAGAGTCGAGCACCGTGCCATTGTCACACAACCTCAATCGGGTGGTGCCTTGTAGGCGACAAAGGAAGGGGAGGGGAGGGGGAGGGGGGGAGTTTGCAATATCATCATACCAATACCACGGGAAGCCACGTCGGTAGCCACCATGATTGGGCTCTTGCCCGTCTTGAATTCGTTCAAAACCCAATCTCTTTCTTGCTGTTGCTTGTCACCGTGAATGGCTGAAACACAAATGTTAGCTGATATTTCGAAAGGAAGAAGAGTCAAGAAAACTTACAGAGGGCGGGCCATCCGTCCTGGCGGAGGAAGCGGGTGATCTCGTCAGCGATGCGCTTGGTACCAGTGAAGATCAAGCACTTGTTGCCGCGGTTCTCCATGATCGTCTCAAGGTGCTTGATCATGCGGTCACGCTTCTCAAACTCGGAAACAACCTCGACGATCTGAGTGATACGGTGGTTGGCAGAGAGGTCCATGGAACCGATGTTGACCTGGATGTAGTCGTTGAGGAAGTCAGATGCAAGCTGACGGACCTCCTTGGGCCAAGTGGCGGACCACATGCAAGTCTGACGGTCAGGGCGAATCTGAGAGATGATCTTGCGGATCTGAGGCTCGAAACCCATGTCCAGCATGCGATCCGCCTCGTCCAGAACGAGATAAGTGACACGACGAAGGTTGGTGCGGCCAGCCTCGAGCATGTCAATCAGACGACCGGGAGTGGCAATGCAGACCTCAACACCACGGCTAAGGTCGCGGATCTGAGGGCCCTTGGGCACACCACCGTAGACACAGGTGTTGCGAATACGGGAGGACTTGCCGAACTTGGAGATTTCGGCCTGGATCTGAACCGCCAACTCACGGGTGGGGGCAAGGATGAGGACAATGGGTCCGTCACCAGGGGCGAGCAGAGGCTGGGCGTTGATGTGGACGATAGCGGGCAGACAATAGGTCAGGGTCTTTCCGGAACCAGTCTCGGCAATACCGACAACATCACGACCAGAGAGGGCCATAGGCCAACCCTGAGACTGAATGGCGGTGGGGCGATCGAAGCCCTGAGCCTTGACCTCGCTCAGGACGTACTGAGGGAAGCCAGCCTCGTCGAAGGTCTCAACGGGGCGAGGGACGTTCTTGCCCTGGACAGCCATCTCCTTGCTCTTGCGGAACTCGTCGACTTCGCGCTGGGAGCGAGCAGCAACATCGGGGTGCTCCTTGTAGAAGGACTTCTCGAACTTGGGAAGGGAGTCCATGTCTGGTAAATTCATATAAGTGACTGCAAAGGGACGGAAGTGGAACCAGCGAACTTACCCCATTCTTGCTTCTTCAAGCCAGCGCCGAGGTTGGACATTCTGTCACCACCACCAGCGCCTCCACGGCCACCACCGTAACCACCACCGCCATAGCCACCGCCGCCATAGCCACCACCACCACCTCCGTAGCCACCACCACCACCGCTGTAGCCGCCGCCATTACCGTAGCCACCACCGCCGCCGCGGGAGCTGCTGAGATGTTAACTACTGCTGACCTAGAAGGGAACAACACAAGGAATCCCAATAATGACATACCGGTAAGAATCACGCTGGTAGCCGCCGCCACCGCCGCCGCCGCCGTTGTAGGAAGACATGCTGAGGTTTTTGTTGTGTGAAGTTGAAGTTTTTAGAATTGGAAGGCAGAGTAAGCCAAACAAGGAAACGGTGAGAAAGAGAGAAACGACTGAAGATAAGATCAGACGATGCGACAAACCCTCTAGGAGACGAGAGGATATGACAAAAGAAGGTGATAAGGAGTAAGAGACAGATAGGAGGGAAAGAGAGATGAAAAAAGAGATGTGTTATAGGATGGGGGGAAAGAAGAATGAGGATGGGAGGAGGGAAGGAGGAGGAAGAAAAAGAAGAAAAGGAAGGCGACTTGGGGGGGAGGGAAAGGCGGGATCTTTCTATGGAAGAAAAAAAAGAGAAAGACTGGAGGCAAAACACCGCCTGATCAGGCATAGCGTAGAGGCAACTAACACCGCCTTTTTTTTTTTTTAACTGGCACTCTGACTAATTGGTCCATTGAGGCTGGGTACTTTTAGTGACTTTGAGTCCATTCATTTTCAATGGGTGAAACAGCCTCTTTGTTTGTAACTCCTTGTACACTTTTTCTGTACATAATGCACATGCTCATAAATAGTATCTCATCATTGATTATCCAAGTCGATCGTCATGCTTAGTAGTCCGGTTCTCAGCTATATACTCTACTCATACACAATCTTGAATATCTCTCCATTTCCAAAGCAATATTTACCATAGTCCGTCATCTCGAAACTGAAAGAGTGAATAGTCCCACTGCTAACAAGATTCGCCACCACCCAGACCCATGTCCCAGAATCTGATCTCCAACTCCGTCGCCCGCACGAAAATCTTAATCAATTCCTCCATCCGACTGGGCGAGACCTCTCGCATATGCTTTTCAAGCAATTCTAGAATTCGTCATGTTAGCGGGTCCCCCATCGCCCCCAGCTTTCGCCTCCTGCAGGGAAGGGAGATCCCCAAGGTGGTCTTGCTTACCGGACCCCAGACGCACTGCCTCGGTGTAGTCGTCGGCGACATAGTTCTCAACCCATTTCCAGTACCGGTTACCCTCCCGCACCGAATCTTTGTCCGTGTAGAGTCGTTGTGCGATAGCTCCGTAGCCGATCAAGCAAGGCGCAAGAGCCATCTGTAGGGCGAGCCAATCTCCCGACTGGCCAACGTCGAGGATATACCGACTATACGCAGTGCACGCTGCTCGTACGTAACAACAGTGTCCCCGTCAGCTATTCTGCACCGAGTAACGTATGGTTATGGTCGTCGGCGACGGAATGAGAATGGGTCACGCACCAATGGTTTCCGGAGTCTTCTCCATTTCCTCTTTGGTCAGTCCGAAGGAGGCACAGTAATCTAGGTGTAACGCTGTTTCGCGTTGGATATGTAGGACAATTTGCGCAGACTGTTCGCGTGAAATGGTCAGTATCTTGGCTGGTCGACCACCTGGTGACACCTCCACCCTCCACCCGAGTAGGATCGAAGCGCGCTTGTGTTTAAAAACATACCGCGGCGATTGATTCCATGCTCCCCGCCTTGTATGCAGCCAAAGCGTTGCTCCGTGCAAATTGAATCTGGTTCAGTTCGTCAGCACTGGATCTCGTCAAGGGAGAAAAGCTCGACATGTCATACCAAGTAAAGATAATCCTGAACGAGATATGATTTGAATCTCTCCAAAGGAAGTGTGCCATCGCCCAACTGCCGGACGAACTCATGCTCCGTAAACTTCTTCCAAGCCTCCTGAACGTCAGGACGACCCAGCGCATACTCTATAAAACGACCGCTGAATGACTCGTCAGCAACACATGCTCAACTCCTTCTCTCAGAAGTAAAAAAGGGCAAGTGACTCACGGTGCAAACGGCAGGCTATACAACGAGTGGAAGTGGTTGATCGGCCCACTCCCCTTGCCGATATCAAAGCTGGTCTTGATACCGGCTTCAACAAACCGAACAGCGCTCTGGACGGCCCGCTTCATGCCCTTACCGAGGGCGAGATTGGCCGCAATGGCCGAGGCCAGCGAACAGCCCGTGCCATGCGTGTTCTTCGAGATGAGGAAGTCCGTCTCGAACAAGGTGACTTCCTCGCCATCATACAGTACATCAACGACGATGCACGCATCCTCCTGATTTTGCGCGGTCTTATGATCTTTTGTGAGGGGCAAATGACCGCCCTTGAGCAAGACTCCCTTTGAGCCCAAGGAACAGATCTGCTTGGCCAGCTGTACCATTCCAGGGAGGTCAGTAGGCTCGGAAACATCAATTCCGGAGTCCTTGAGAAGTAGCAGAGCTTCTGGGATGTTCGGGGTGAGGATGGTGGTCAGGGGAAGCAATTTCGACCGCAGGACTTGTACAGCGGCCCCAGGGAGCAGTTGCGATCCACTTGTTGACACCATGACCTGTAGTCCCAGTATCAGACCGGTGAACATACACTGCATACTGGGGGAATGGAGATAGTTACCGGATCCAGCACCACCGCAGGAATCTGATGCGTGACCAGAGCCTCGGCAATCACATTAATTGTCTCCGCGGAGGAGAGCATTCCTTTCGCCAGTCAGCGCACGCACACGCATGATATAACCGGCGCGGCTTTCAATGAGCTGAAGCCAGAAAAGCCAATGGTGAGGAGGTGAGGAACAACGAACCCAATTTGACTACATCCGCACCGACATCTTCGAGGCCAGCATTGATCTGTTTCTTGACAAATTCAGGCGGAATGATAAAGATATCTTGCACTCCCAGAGTGTTCTGCGCTGTAAGACCGGTGGTTGCGGTCAGTGCATAGACGCCGTGAGCAGCCAGAACTCTCTGGTCCGCTTCTAGACCCCTGATGTCAGAATTGATTGCATTAGTTGACCAGGCCTTTGGAGAGAACCGTGCACAATTTGACGTACGCGCCACCCGAGCTGTCCGACCCCGCAATGACCAGAACTTTCTTAACCGACATGATAACAGTCGAGTAGCCCAGATTGGGATCGAGTTGCCCCGAATGATTGAGATAATTGATGGGGATGCAGATGTTTACACACCGAGCGAGTCAACCCGGCAATGGATGGCGGGAGTCACTGATCGGGGACCGGAGGAGAGGAGTGCGGGGCCCGGCTTTTGATAAGATAAAAAAATAAAAAAAAAATAAAAAAAAAGCACAAAAAAAAACAACAGCTCCGATTTCTCGACTATGCTTTTACTAACTACTTCCTACATGATACCCGTACATTAAAAATCCATAGATGCAAAATTGAATCCATGCCTATTCACCTCATCATGCCGTTGTTCCAAATCTGGTAATACCCGCTGTCCACATACTAAAACAGAAAAGTTGCTGATATGTACAAATGTAAATAGATCTATGAAAAACCAATCATGGCAACATGAAGCGGAACAGACTATCCATTTCAACCCATTGTCGTCCGCACTTCTTTAGATATGCGTCCACGACCCCTTTGACAGTTCCAAACCGGGTACGGTTGAACTCGACTAACGCTGCCACACTGTCCTTCTTCTCCGCGTTCCCCTCCTTCTCAGCCGCAGTTCGAGCCTTGTCGACATCCCAAAGTCCGGCAAAGTAGAGCAGCTGGTTGTACATCTGTTTTTCCGTGTACTCGTAGGACATGCGACCAAGACAACCTTCAGCGTGACCCTTGGGACCCAGGCAGCGGTGCCCGTATACACTGATCTGACGCGTCCGGTTACCGCAGGCCGTATCGTCGCAGACAAGCCAGCCCTCATAATATTTGGAAGTCTGGGCCCGGATCTGAGTTTCCAGCTGCGCAACGATGGTCAAAACCGAGAAAGGTTTCTGACAGGCTTGGTTGGGGCAGATAACGCCATTGGCTGTGCACATATGAACGGACCCGAGCAACCCTTCAAACACTGATTTCTCCTTGCAGGACCGACAGGTGAGGGTGAGTCGAGCTGCGCTTTCGAAACGCACCGAATCGGGAATTTGCGATTCCAGCGGGAAGATGTCAGCGTTCTGCTGGTTGCTTCCAGTAGAAGTGTTGATCTGATATTTGCGGACATCGAGGCCCAAACACTCCGCCAACCGAACAGCATCAGTACCGGGGATAGGAGCACATAGACGCTCAATAGGCGGGAAGATCTGCTTGAGCAAATAAAACTCGATGTCGGGCTTGAGTTCCGAGTCGGGCTTCATCACGTCCGGCAGTGTATACGAACGTTTGGCCGGCGGGAGGGATGCAGTTTCCGAATCCCCACTGGTCACGATGTAAGAGATAACGTCATTGGGACGAACTGTCTTTCCTCGAGCGAGCTCGCGCAGGGCGACCTGCACTGGAGGCATTGTCTCCTTGTTGGGGTATTCCTCAGGTCGCTTGGAGAGTTTCTAGGAGAAACGTTAGCATTCTTTGGTCTTTACTGTCCTCAAAGCCACACTCCATACCGTATAAATCACGTATTTCTGCACAGGGACAGTGAACTCTCGCATCTTGCCTGCAAGATCGCGCAGGTAGTCGTGGATCCGGTTAAGAACAAGTTCTTGGTCCTCGCCAGAGAGAACCTCATTCAACAGTTTCTGAGAAACTTCCTTCGACAGTGAGCAGTACTCACGTCTCTTCATGTCGAGACCCTTGACTTCCAGCTTGTCAACGTACTTGCCATCTACTTCTGTGATGTTGACGGCAGCGTACTTCTTCTTGGCATGCAAGAGGAGACGACGGAAGATGTTGTCGATATCGATCTCCAATAGTCGATAACGCTCATTCACCGACTTCTTGAATTCCTCACCGACCTTAATCGCATCGCTGATAGTGTCCATATTCGTGTTGATCATGACGGAGTCAGTATCACCATAGATGACACGGAGTTGTTTCGACTCCGCCAGCTCCTTGGTGCTTCTGAGAATCTCACGCCCCTTGAAGGTGGTAAGCATGGCCAAGGGACGAGCATAAAAGCGACTCTGCGTGTAACCCAAGCATCCGTACATAGAGTTGGCCGTCAGCTTGAAGGCCAACTGCTTAGTGTCCCAGAGAGCGAGCTGCTCAGGCGTCGCGCGTTTGTCTTTCATCAACTTCTTCACCTCACGTCGACGACCGACCAAAGTTGCGATTAGGCGGGGCAGGATACCCTGCTCTTGCTCTGACGACGGGACCTCGGGTACTTTCTCCTCCTTGTCATTCTCGGCCTAGATAGAGTTGTGAGTAGGCGTTCAGTGGTTGGTCGAGTTCATAAACTCACAGTTGCCGTCCGTTCCACGGTCGTGAAGCAGATATTATACTCCTGAATGATACTCGGGTACAGACTGTTGAAGTCCATGACTAGGACAAAGCGGTCGTAAAGGCCCTTCTCGGGTTCAAAAACCAGACCACCCTTATATTTGTCCTTCTTTTTCTTATCCGCCGAGTCGTCCTCGTCACCTTCCTGGAGTTTCTCTTCCGCTTTCAACAGCTTGGAAGAGTATTTATCAGGACAGATGTATTTGTTCCGGTGGAATTCGTGGAGGAGAATGTACTCGTTCCGCTCGGCGCGCGTACCGCTGAGCGTCCTTGCCCAGGAGTTACCAGCAATATTGGTGAGCACTTTGGTTAGAGGTAACATCTGCAGCTTCAAGACAAGAGCGGCGATGAAGTAAGTGTCTGCATCACAATGGTTCACAAAATTCATGAGACCATCTTTCGTGGTAGCCCAAGATTTCAAGGCTGCTTCGGTGTCTAGTTCTTGTCTCGTATTGCCCTGTCCCAAGTAGAGTTCGCACATCTCTGTCAGGCTCCAAGATTGACATTTCATCATCAGAGACTATCAAATGTCAGCACATATCCTTTTGTGACCGCTGTCACTGAAACTTACCTTGCCCATGTCATTAGCCACATCACACATCAATCGTCCTGCGATCAAATGCCTTTCAGCGAAGAAACCTCCACCCCTGTTGAAGTTCTTAGGCCAGTCTCCACGTTTCAGTCGCCCGAGGCGATGCCATCCTGGCGTCTTCTTTTCCTTGAGTCGGTTGAGAAGAACGCTGAGGTCGACTTCCTGGAGCTGGTGCCCCATGAGGACATCAGGATCCATCTTCTCGAACAGTGCCAGGAATTTACTGAGCAGAAACTGCTCGCTCCTTTCCAGCATGAATGTACCTCGTTGCTTCCGGGTTTCGGCTTCGAAGTGCATGGGGTAAGAGGTGCCCACCGGCCGCATAACCGTGAAAGTTTTGCAAGGCAGCTTCTCCGGGGGAGTAGTGTCCGTGAGAGAGACATTCTCGTAAACTCTGGCACTGGCCACCAGAATCTCTTGCTTGTTCTCCTTGACGTTGAGTTGCGTGCGGAACGAAAGACTCATTAATGTGAGAGGCGGTGCGTCCAGATTCTCGGAATCGGGCACCGGAGAGATGAGCGCAGGCTTCGACACCTGGCATTCAAACTTACACCAGGAGGCATTGTTGACAGCCGAGAAGTCTGCTTCTTCAATTTTCAGCCAACATGGACCCATAATGTTTTTCCAGAGCACAAATTGTTCGAACAAGGCCGTGTTAGTTCCGAAGACGTGGGAGAATGTCTCCCCCTTGACGTCCATGGGCAATGCAGGCTTATCATAAGGGTAGAGAAGCTTCAGATAATCCGTTTCTTTCGGAATGCCGGGCACCTCAAACGCATACTTGCGCGTGCACGGCTTGATCTTGTGCATTCCCACTCGCAACCTCGACATCATATCGTCTACTTCGCGATAGACATCTTCCATATCCACCTCTTCATCGGTCTCGCGCCCGTGCTTGTGACGGTTCTCGCGGGGAAGAAAGTATAATTTTCGGAGGATATTGTCGACTTTGACGAAGGCACTGGCATAGGAGCCTGTCTGTTTATTCTTCACCTTTCCGAACAAGCACAGGCTCCCGTTGACCTCAGTGAAATCCAACCAGAACATACGTAAGCTCCCATCCTCCTCAACAACGTCTTGTGGACGTAGTTTTCCGAAGGTTCGCATCTCAGAGTGGGCGGGGCTGCTGAGAACGTTCAGCTTGCTTCGGACGTCGTTCCAAGATGCATCAACGTCTGGTAGAGCCTTGACGGGAGAAGAGCTGGCGATCGAAGGATAAGACTCCTTCTTAAGCTTAGGCACTGGTCGGCTCCCAGCCATGTTGATACTTGCTGCCTTGGCTTCGTTCTGTCCAGTAGCTTGCGTGACTTCCATCAGGTCGGTGTCATCCTCGTCCGATTCTTCTACCTTGACCGCCACAGCCGTTGTCTTCCTCTCGATGGCCTTGCTGATAGGCGATGAAGGCATTGGGTCACTCATAGGAAAGTCCTCATCATCCATGTTGGGAAGCGGACCATCATCATAGTCGTCGTCCATGTTAGTATCCGACTGATCCTTTACCGGAGAAACCGGATCACTATTCTCATCCTTCTTGATATGCGCATCCTTTCGCGTTCTGTCCGAGAGCGGCGGGGACAGGATCCGGACTTTGCGTCGAGTCTCGGACTTGACGATATTTCGGGTTGGTAGGCGTTGCGGAACGACGTTGGTATCGACCTCTCCAAGGAGGTCAGCCATGAAGGCATCATCCTCTGCGGTAGCCACTGGCTAAAGTGGAAAAAATTGCAAGTTAGAACAAAGCCCAGTTTCTAGACCCTCTTCCTCCAACTTCCAAGCTATCACGTAACCTTAACCCGAGGGACAAAAAAAAGGAAAAAAGCTCACCTTGGGCTTCGGGGCGGACGGCGCAGCCCCGCTGTTGAAGTATTTCGAGATCCCGTTGTTGATTTTTTCCTTCCTCTGCTTCTCTTCTTCACGTTTCCGCTTGGCAGCCTTGCTCCGGGCAGGCAATTCATCGTCCTCGCTTTCACTGTCGTAGTCGGCGCCGCGCTCGTTCCACACTTCGCGACCGTCGTCCGCGTATCCTTCGCCGTTATCGTCGACCACGAAGTCGTCCTGATCGAGCCGATTGCGGATGATTTTCTTGTACCCTTCGTCATCGACCTCTTCGTAGACATCGCCCTGTTCCTCCACCTCATACGTGGAAAGGCGTTTCTTGCCCGCGGCGCGGAGAGCGCGCAGCTCTGCTAATTTGGCACGGGCAGACATGGCGACCCGACTGTCCTTGGTTCTTCTTATGAAGAGCTAGAGTCCATGAAATGCCGTTCACTTGGTCAAATCAAGTTCGAACAAGCCTTAGGATAACAATGGGGTCAGAAAGTGGGTTCTGAGGAAGGGAGGGGGGCTGAGAGTTCAATGCCAGCTGCTGTTGCTCCGACAGGAAATGCGGGAATCGCGCGGAGGCGGAGGCAGAGGCAGATTCAACGCGTTTCGGAAACGCGGTTGCGACGCGCAACCCACCAATCCCGTTAAAGTGGTTTTACACTGCCTATTATAGTAGGTGAACACCAACGCATCTGTATCTACGGAAAGGCATCTACATAATCCCAGATGCTTAAATCAAGAACTGACACAATTGATGAAAAATTATGTTGTCACCGTCAAGGATTCAATTAATTTGCTGCAGGACTAAGTTAACATTGACAATGTCATACATATAGCCCGTCCTCTGAACTCATGTCACTATCTTCCACTGCTATCTGTTAGCGTTATCCGACACAAATGGAGCCCCGATATTTACCTGGTACAATCCCGTAGTCAAAGGACCCGTCCAGATTCGCCTTCAGAGTTTCACTGATCAGGAGTTGCGCCTCCTCGGTCAGAGTACTATCTACTGCATTCAGGATTGACAGGTTGAAGCCTTTATTACCGGGCCCTAGCTGCGAGATAAAGTCAAGGATTCCATCAGCAGTGAACTTGCTGAAGGCGGGGATTACAAGACTCTCCAGCTTCGAGAGATGTGTGAATGCCTGAAAAACGGTATCGTCGAAAAAGTCGCCGCTTATCCAAAGCTTTTCCAGGCGGGGAAGCAACGCGGTCAAGGCCATGACATGATCTTGCGAAAAGCCGTCGGAAATGTCTTTCAGGTCCAGCTCACGTAACTTACTCAGCTGGCTCAGTGCCTGTACTAGGACCTCGTTGTCATGGTTGGAAAAGGAGGCTTCGCCGCTAAGGCAGAGAGTTCGCAGAGTCTGCTGGCAGGCAAGGGCTTCATGAAAGGCCTGGGCACCTGACATGTTATACCGAGACAACGAAAGACTAGTCAGGTTGAACCCATCGCTGGTCAATGTCTGTGATAACAGGAAGGGGTCATCGACAAATCGTCTCACTTCCAGCTGCCGCACTGATTTGCAGCTGCCGATCCACTCGGCAACTTGCGAGACAATCGTATAGAATCTCTCATCCCGCGGGGATGGAACCGAGTCGGTTAAAGTCAGGACCCTCAACGAGGGAAGGGCTGCTAAAGAGGGCAGTTGTGCAATGCCATCGATTGTGAGGCTCGTCAACTTCAATTCTGATAGCGATTGCCGGTGTGAGCCCAGACCCACAATGGAGCGAGGCCCAAGCTGGCTCATGCTAATCAGTTCAAAAGTTTCCAATGTGTTTGGCCTTAACTGGTCGAGAAACTGTTCGGATTCAGCTTCCGCGGTTGTGGGCGGACGGTCTCTCCTGCGCACTTGTCAGTACTGTAACCAGGGCGAATTTCAGTGGCATATTCGGGTCTATACCATGAATATATGGTGAGGTGCTTAAATTTTGGGCAGTTATGACGGAGCTGGGCACCAGTATGTTCGCTTAGAGCTTCGCCAGACCATACCGTTAGTGATTGCAGCAAGGGCAGTCCCCCTACCCATTCGGATAGTGTTTCAGGGGGGACTAGAAAGGCCATTAGCAAGACCCATAACATACACTGGCCACGCTTAGACGTTGGGCTTACCATTGAGCGACATCCCTCGTATAGAAGCCGTTTTCTTCACAATCGCTGTTTGGCGTTAGCTCTTCATCTCATATCTCATCGTCATATGGAGTCAAGAAGGGACAGACAGACCGGAACCAATCTTAAGCTTGACCGAGTCGGCACCGGGATCGGGGCCCTTGAACGACGACCGTAGCCGCTTGTTGCCTTTCGACTGGTAGTCGGAAGAAACAATCTCTGACAGTTCCGGGATGAAAAAGTCACTACAATCAGCCCGTCAGTATTTTGATCACCGATAGCTGGTATCTGGAGCATGTATTACTCCCGTATCTGCCCGCTGAAATTTGGATCTTTCAGCAGATCTCCCAGATCATCCAGATCTAGATAACGAAGATAGCTGTAGTAAGGCAGGTAGGTCTGACCCAAAGCCGATAAAACAATGGATCGCCATAAGGTTGCCCACTTCCGTACGGTGGGGTCGACCTCACGCCTCAAGGATGCATTAAATGTAAAGCGTCTGCGCGGGTTGAGAAATTGTTCATCCTCCGTCCCTCCACCCCGTACGGGTGACGCATGGCACACCCTGCAGGGAGTTTTAGCAAAAACGCACCTCATGGGGACGGAGAATGGAAAAGCAAAGGATGGGAAGCATACTTATACAACGCAGCTAGCGCGTGGGCGGTCATGTATTTCGAGGATATGGCGCATTGAAATAAGCTGTTGTGGTCTCGCTCATCTCCCAGGATATCGAAGATCATACAAAGTACGTCATCGGCTAAGGCGAATCCCATCTTCGCAGCGCAGAGCTCCCAATTCCTTAAGAATTCCCACTAACTAACCAAGACAGCTCAATAGGCGTATTATGCTTTGATAAGAAGTGCTTGGCCCTGAGTCCTCGCGCGGGAAGGGTTCTTTGAAGGTTGTCTTTTGAAGGAGAGATACTGTAGGGCCGCCAGTCCTTCCAGTAGATACGCGCTTATGTAATCTCGTGTCGTGTTTGCGGTCGACGTGCGGCGGGTTTGCATCAGCCATGGAGAACTTATCCAGGACCAAACAAAGACAATCCGTGATAAACTGCGTGATAAGAAATCGGAGGGTGTAGAGAAGGACACAAAAGTACTGCTCGTGATCCGCATTCTCCCCGCTCATTCTCGATAAAAAGCATACATGGCCTCCCTATCGTTCTCTCTCTCCCCGGAGGCGATCTATCAACTACACGATGCATTGATGTGCCTGGGTAGATTTGGCGACAATGTATCATTCGAAGCCGAATTCGATCTGGTACGTGATGCTCTATTTGTGTAGCTTGAAAGTCCTGAAGTGACTCACACAGATGAAATCAAGCTTCGTTTGAGCGTCTTGAACTCCACCAAGACAGCCTACGCCGCCTTCGCCTTTGATGCAGACAAGTTCTTCGAGTCCTACTCATTCGGGGTAGATAGACGCAACATGTCTGCAGGCGTTCAATCACATAAGTTCTGTTGCCAGGTGTTGATCAAAGTGGGTGGTCTTCGGATCAAATTAACCACCACCAAGGGGGGTTTCTCCAGCTAACATTGGAATAGGCCCTCGTGTCCGTCTTCAAAGGAAGAGCAAGTGGCCGCAACAAGGACACCTCGGTCGAACGATGCGAGTTCGAGCTGCAAGACAATCCCGATGAGACGGAATGCCGCCTCGTCATCAGACTGATATGCGGACTTGGTGATTAACCCTACCCTCTACCGCAAGCATATTTTGTTCCTCCCGCCAGGATGCTGACAACTCAGGCGTCATCAAACTCTACAAGCTCACGTACGAGCCCGTCTATGTTCAGCATGCAACATTCGACAGGTCCAGAGCGACGAATGAATGGAGCATCGAGCCCAAGTTTCTGAAAGAAGTCACCGACCACTTCGGTCCGTCGGCAGAGCAACTGGACATTTACTCCGAGCACGGCAAGACCGTTTTCACCAGCTTCACTACCAAAATCGCCGACGGAAAAGGTTTAGATCTCCCAACTAAAAGTCTGCTCGCCCATATATATGCTAACGAATACCTTCTATGCAGAGATCCTGCGACAACCAGTGCATACCTCCGTGGCCATCGACAAACGGGACTTTGAGTATTACCTGGCCGAGGACAATCGACACATTGCGATCAATCTGAAGGACTTCAAGGCTGTCCTTGCGCATGCTGATATTGTCCACGCCAGACTCACCGCCCGGTTCACCACTCCCTGCCGCCCGCTGCAATTCGCATACGAACTCGAGGGTGTCAAATCCGAGTTCACCTTAATGACGAGAGGTGAAGCCGTCGGGGACGATGGGCCAAGCTCGTCTCGAGCCGCCGCGCCACAGTTGTCTGCTCGACAGACCCCAGCTCCTGTGCAAGTGAGTCAGCAGAGGCCCACTGCTACCGACGCAAGTCGAATGCCGCCGCCGTCCTCGCGGAGTCGATCTCTCCGCCCTCTCACCGGAACGTCCGCTCGAGCTTCGCAGACCCCCGCAGAATCCCAGAGACCTCAACCGCCGGTCGAATTCGATAGTCTCTTCGTACCTGCGGATGATGACCGACAATGGGACGTGTCGAATGACGAGGAGGCTCCAGCCGAAGACGAGCTTGGCTGGGATGCCACGGGTGACAAAGTACGACTCCCAGCATTAACCGTCTTCCATTGGCAGCTGGTTACTGACTTGATAACAAAGGACACTTTCACCGCCAGCTTGAGGACACGGGTGCCCAACGAGGAGTCGGAGGCCGCCGAAATAGGCCAAGAGGAGGAGACGGGCATCCCGCCCACCCAGCGCATATCACAGGTAACTTTAGGTGCCCTGTCCACTTGAAAAATTGACGAGGAAACTAACACCGTCAGCTCCATGGCCTCGGTCTGTTCGATTAAGCAATCAAGCATCGCCGCGCCAGCTGTCAGCCACTTGACGGTTCCTCCAACCGCGTCGGGGTCAACATTAGGCGGTGATGATCCAGCTTGTTGCGCAACCAGCGCCAACGCCCACAATGTCGGACTCGCCATCTGGCAGGGGAATCCGTTTCCACTCCCCCTTGACATTGCCCTGCGCATCGGTATCGGGACCACAGTTCCCATGCTCGCCCCAACCACAGGCCACGACCGTGCGCTCATCCAACCGCGCAAGAAGATGCTCGCTCCCCGGCGCCAGATCCCTCACCACCTGGCCGTGCCCCAAGTCCCCGGTACTGGTCGATGATGGAATCTGTCCGCGATCATTCCTGCCCCAGGCCACCACCTCCCCATTGTTCAAATGTACATAGACGCCATGCCAACTGACCTCGATGGCCCGATAGCCTCCCGCGCGTAGTGCCATCTCCTGCACCTGGGACGCAGACACCCCCGAGCGAATCCCCCACTTATCATCCACCGCGCCCAGCACGGCGAACTCCCCCCTAGCAGGATCGCCCATGATCACCGTAAACTCCCGCCCACACGCCGCCCCGGTCGCCGGGAACCCCAACCCCTCCCACCCCTCAATCCTCCGGGGACTCCAGACCACCTTGTCAGGGATATTGGCCTCCCCCAACTGGCCCTTCCTCGCCGCGCCCCAACCCCACACGCTCCCATCGGAAAGCACCACCACCGTATGGCCCATCCCACTCGCAACCGCGCGCACCCTGACCCCGGGAGGCGGAAAATCCGGAATCGCGACGCCGCCCGCACTCGCGCGGAGACACCCCTTCCCCAATCCCAATTCCCCTTTCAATCCCGATCCCAACACAAGCACTCGATCCCTGCTCTCCTGTCCCCCCTTCTCCTCCTCCTTCTCTAAGCCAGAAGCGACCAAGACCGTCCCCTCCCACGTAGCAGCCACCCCCGTGAACGTATCATAGACCTGACCACCACCACCACCTGCACCTGCACCACCCGCACCAGCACCATCTCCCGAACCACCCCCCAAATCACCAGCAACAACAACCACCCTCCTAAACCGCATCACCATCTCCCCCTCCCCCTGGCCTCCATATTCCTTCGAAGATACCCCACACCGCCCATCCCCATTCCACCCCGCCGCAAAGACCCTGCCCCTCCGATCCGCCACCAAAGTATGATTGCCCCCGGCCACAATACGAACCACGTCGGCTCCCTGCGGCCCACTTCCTGCACATTCACCTTCACCATGGTCCTGGTCCTGGTGGTGATCCTGGTGGCGATCCTCCGCATCCTCCGCAACCTCGAAAACACATCTCGTCGGCACAGAGACATCCTCCGCATGCCCCAGCCCCAATTGGGCGGAGCCATTCGATCCGAACGCGAAGAGGGGCATAACCTTTTTCCAAACTCCGTGACGGTTCCCGAGATGGCTTGCCTTGCTCTAGCCAGGTAATGCAGCGACTTGACAGATCGAGAGGGTATACTGCCCACCCCGCGGGGGAAAAATACTCAGTCGGTATACAGCAATGTGGATGGATTGTGATGTGATCTTATCCCCCGTTCTTTCGGGAGCAGTCGCAAATCAAATTACTAGCTGCTGCCCCTGACGGAAAAAGAGATTAGATAAATTCGTGTCACGTATGAAAAGTAGCAAGCAAGGAAATACTATCATGGATGAATGGGATGAGAGAGGATAGACAGACCACACAGGTTTGGTTTGTTCTCTTTAGCGGTCAGAAGAGCACTCCTTTTTGATATCACAAGACAAGAGAATTAACCGAGGGTAAAGGACAGTGACTAGACTACCTAGGCACCAAAGATCAGATAATCTTGCAGGTGATAACGAGGGGGGGTGGAGAGGAAATTCGATGCAGGAATATTATTGTTACTGATAACGAAGCGATAAACAAGGTAGTGAATGTACCGCCTTTCCTTATCGCTTACCTCTTCCGAACTAGTGGGGGCAATTATCCGGCAGAATCCTGGTCGGCCGAAAACGGCAGAGTGGAAGACCGGCAATGACGACGTGCGAGAACGCCGTGGGGGCAAAGGACGATGTAACTTGCCCTCCGATGAAACTGTAAAATTTCCAAGTCTAGGGTAGCGATGTGGAGACGAAGGATACTACGAGGCCATATGTAAAGAAAAGAAAGTCAGGATGAAAAGTATGTATTTCCCAGCATTGGGGAGGATGCAATATTAATCAGCTTCTATATACTTAAAAGTAGGTATTTATGTACCTGGGTATTGGGAGGAGGTGTACAGCCACAACAAGAACCAAGCAAAACCACTCGCTCGAAAAACAAAGATTGTGAAACAGCAAGAAAGGAAGAGTCAAAGGCATCATCAACCCGGATTGGGGTATGCCACATGCAATGCATCACGCCGATGGTCTTTTCAAAGTGCTAGAAAGGGAATCATTCAACATATCCTAATGGTTGGTCTTCTCATTGAAGGACTCTTCCGAGTCATCCTGCGCAGCCGGAGGGAGAGCGAAGTTATCCGCCCTCGTGGCCGGCTTGTCCATTCCGCGGAACATAGGGCTGGTGCGGTGGAAGTAGGAGTGGACGTGGCCTTCCAGAAGAGACTCGTCGGTGTCCTGCAGGTAGTCTTCGCCCTTGGTAGTCTCATCCATCTTGCGAGCCATGGCAGACTCCCATTCAGCGCGGAACTCCTCGACCTTCTGCTTGTAGTCAAGCTCGGCGTTGTAGTTCTTTCCAACGCCGCGCAGACGCTCCCAGACAGACAAGTGCTTGGAGTGGATAGCAGGACCGTGGTAGTCCTGCTCACGGCCTTCACGGATGTACTGCCAACGACGCTCCTGCTCCTTCAGATCCAGACCAGTGGTGTCGGGAAGGAAGAGCCAGGTGAGAACCATGCCGGCCAGACCCCACCAGGGCACAAAATAGAACTTGGTGCGGGTGCCGATGTAATTGTACAGCACCGAGGCCAACAGGGCACCGAGTTTGCCGCAAGCAGCGGAGATACCGTGAGCCGAGGCGCGGATAGGAGTAGGGAATACTTCGGCGGCAACCAAGAAAGTGATCGAGTTGGGGCCGAATTGGTTGAAGAAGGAACTCAGAAAGTACATAGCCTGGAAAGCGTGGATGTTCTCCGGCTGGATGTAGTGATCGTAGTGGAAGGCGGGAACGACGAACATAACAAAGCACATCAGGAAACCGATCATCTGCATCCACTTGCGGCCGTAGAGTTTGTTGTCCACGAAGAAAGAGGCGCAGTAGTATCCAGCCAACGAGACACCGACATTGCACAAGCTCCACAACCATGTAGGCATAATGGATTTGTTATGGGGGCTCAAAACTTCGATGAACTCGGAGCTGAAAAGCTTGTTACCGTAGAAGAAAACATCATTGCAGAACCAACCGCCGGTGGTGGCCAGAAGACGAGGCCCGAAGTACTTGAGAGTGAGCTTGAGAGAATTGACATCATAGCCAGTGACAGAGGCCTTCTTCTTAGCGGCGTCCAGCTGCTTACTAGCAGACTTCATGTGGTAGGCACGGTAGTAGACCAGCCACAGGGTTCCGACGGCGGGAATGGCGAAGGAGATACGGTAGGTCCACTGAGCGGCAACGGCGGAGTAGGGAGGGCTACCGCTTCCATGGTGGAAGATCAGTAGCAAGATGATCAAGATAGCCTGGTTGAAGAACTGACCCCAACCTTGCATCAAGAAAGCGCTGGTGACCTTACGACCACGGTGGAGACGATCCTCCTTGGTCGAAACCTTTCCGGAGCCGACGGCATTCTCCATACCGCTGGTGGCAGTCATGGGATATTCACCACCGACACCAACACCGTAGACGAACAGAGACCAGGCGTAGCAAATGATCCAGCCATTCTCGTTCACACCCCAAGCTGCGATAAGCATGATCAGACCGAGAAGCATTATTGTAGCATCCTGAATTAAACCCCAGCGGCGACCGACCCTAAATCATGTGGTCAGCGATACTCCGTCCGAACAGATTCAAATTGAAGACCATACCAGTCACCTAGAATACCGACCAAGATCTGACCGACAATGATACCGAGAATCTCGAGGTAGTCGATGGCGTAGATCCATTGCTTGTCGCAAGTCTCGTATTCTTTCCAGCAGGACTTGAAGGAATTCTGGAAGAGGGGCTTGATGTTTCCGATAGAGAAGAGCACGTAACTGGATAGGCGCAAAAAAGCAATGTGAGCAAAACTGGTGGCACCTTCGGGAATAGTCGTTGGAGGGGGTGGACCTACCCTTCGAGACCAAGACCAGCACCAGGCAGGACCATATTCCGGAAATAATAAGAGACAGGAGAAAGAGGATCCTCCTTGATCATGGCCCAGATTCCACGAAGCTCACGCTTGGATTCCTGGGCATCGTAGGAGCCAACGAACTTGACTCTCTTGACTAGGGGCAGATCGGCCCAATAGGTACCATCGGGCGTATAGCTGTCATCGGGACGAATGAGCTGATCGAAGGCACCCTTTTCGTGGAGATCCATGTCCTCGAGGGGATTATGGGTGCCAGTCATGTCGGGGCCATGAGGGGCCTGAGCACCGAGAGTTGCCATCTTGTCGGACGATGTGGAATGATAATCGACTTGGCTGTCGCAACAAGACTCGGACAAGAAGAAGAGGCGCTCTTAGAAAGGTCTCCTAAAGAGGAGAGAAGGGGAAAACGGGCGCGTTGACCGTGATGGAGGCGTCACACACGATGCAGGCCAAGTTGTTGGACAGCGGCCGGCCATCAATCTTATATTCCGAAAATCTCTGGGCTGGGCGGACCAGCAACAGCCCACCGTCACGCCCCAGGCACATGTGCAAATGGTGGGACGTGATAAGCCAGACGCCGGTCTTGGGGGGGAGGGAGGGGGGGAGTGTGTGTGTGTGTGTGTGTGGTTCATGGGTCGACGGGGGAAATTCTGGGTAGCCCGTAGTCTGGTAGGTAGTGCGAGATCCAACTGTAGTGGCGGGCGGGTGGGGAAGTAAGAATTAGTTTTAGCGGAGTGGATCCCAAGGAAAAAAGAAGGGTTCCACTGCGCTGCAAGTCGTTAGTCGACTTAGACTAGGATGCAGGAAGGCGGACTCTCGCCAGCCCCAGTGCCTAGGCCCTAGACCCAGTTAAGGATATTGAATAGGTAATTGAATACTGGAGCCACTTTCTCTCTTTCCTCTCGGCCTTTGTGTCGCGGCTTTTCGACCGGAGAGACCGGAGCGGGTGAAAGTTCCCATGAGAGAAGAAGAGGTTCAGGACGGGGCGGTCGTCGGTCATCGGTACCTAGTAAGTACTGCAGTGGTGGCAGTAGTAGGTAGGAGAGGTTTCCAATCCAGCTTGCCGTTCCCGGGCAGAGTTTCTTCCTCCGAGAATCAATTGCACCCACCACACCCGCATCCACCCGGATGAATTGGAAAAACCCATCTATCCGAATATTGTTATGACTTTCGTCGGGTGGCATGAGAATCAAAATGAAAATCTATTATCCCTCCAAAGGACGAATTCCAGAGGATCCAGTCAAACTAGGATTATGGATTAATGAATAATTCTCAGGAATAATAATAATGCCTGGTGGTAGACGGTGATTGTGGCGGAAGTCAGTTGAGGTTGAGCCCGCCGAGGAACAGACGAAGGACCAACCTTGGTGCGGAAAGGCGGGCGTGAGGGGCGTTTCCCACTGCAGAACTTCCGCCGCCGGCCAATCAACAGCGCACGTGGGGGCAGAATCGCCTTCGATCGACATTGACCGCCTTCTAGAATCACCCGCCCGGATTTACCTCGGTCCAATGAAATGTTGGCAACCGCAACCCCACTACGAAAGCTGCAGAGGTGCACGCCTGGCCGGCCCCGAAGTCACCATGAATTGCTGGCAAATGGTGGTGGTGGCATCATCCTCCGTTTTTTTGACTGTTGAAAATTTCCGGGGGAGATAACAAAAAGACGGGGGATCTATTGGATCTGGATCTAAGAATAATCACGACGCTGCAAAAAAGACCGACCTGCATCAATTGGACCAATCTGGCTGGCTCACTTAGTTGTTCCCAGATGGGAAAGAGAGAGCGTGCGCTGCGTGCGCTGTCAAGTGAGATCTTCAAGTATATGAGAAAGTTGGAATTGAGCGGCAAGAGGGCTCCGCTCGATCTTCAGTGTGTTACACAATGCTGTTCATCATGATGTTCAATGGTTGATTTATCTCGATTCCATTAGATTTTACAGCTGAATGATGCACATCTCGATAATATGAGTATGTTTTTTTTCCTGCGTTGTCCTTCGTCCTTACGTTCCTTCGGTCCTCGTCCACCTGACACTGACAGCCGGGCCACGACAGCCATGGACTTTTTTTGGAATAAGACATGGCTCATTGGAACACGCGCACATAGCTAGTTTGACCCGGGCTGAAACTCGTGGTCGAAGTCTAAGCTTGTGCCGATGCATACGTAGTTGCATATACAATTGAACAAGTGAACAAGTGAACATGGTGTTTGGCATCTCTTGGCACTGCACCTTCAGTTGTTTGTCCGCCAGCCAGTCGCATCGCGTCCTGCCAGCACGTTCCCGCCAACCCTTCCCCAGTCGTCCATCAACAACACTTCCCGAGTTCCCCATCTTTTGTTGCCCTCGTGCTCTTGTGCCTATCTGGGAGGTACCCCTCCCGAGTCCTCTTTCATTATCGCCTAATCAAGAGATCCATCCGGTTTCATGGCTCCTGCTCGTTTCCACGGATGGAGACGTCGGCCGACCACATGGCACTACGTCCGCCCTCTTTGGACCTATCCCTTGCCTGCATCGCTCCACGGTGCATTTCAGTCAGCTTATACATCATTCTCGTACAGGACACCGGAACGAGGTGCCACAGTCACGGTGCAGCTTGGGACCCTCCGTCTCCGCCCGATCATGGTCATCAAATCTAATGTGTGTTGGATGATGACGGCGCACGTCTTGTCTCGGAGATGCTCTGGGCGGACTTTACCGATATCAACCTTGAAACCTTAAAGATAGGGGTCTCATCATACTTGGAGGTACAGCCTGGCACCTCCTCCTGGCAGTATGAAGCCGGCTTGGGTTTGGTCCAATGAGAGCCGCGGGCTCCGCCTCGTGGCTCATATCTCTTTGACCCGGGCCTGCCTTTCCACTCCCGCGGGCAGACCATCAGCATTGCTGACAGGGTCTCCCATATCAAAGGAGCTGTTGAGATTAGGGATCGTCTATCCCACTGCTCCTTCCAGCTCCATCCCGAGCTTCATGGGTCATGGTCAGCCGCCATGCTGCGTATGCATCTAGAAACAGCTACCCGGCCGGCCCTAGTGCAGCAGATTGGCCACGCACTCTGATAGTTGGGTAATAGCTGCAGGGAGATAACATGAGAGCGCTGGACCCTGATTCCACTTTCATCAAATGAAAGGATCTAGATGCGACTCATGGCCCGGTGGTGCGCGGCGTTCAGCGAGATCGGCCGCTCATCTCCTGACATTGCAGCCAGGCGAGATCCAGCAGAGCCGATGGTGGTCAGACGTGGTCTCTTGGGAAGCTATTCCTTCAATGAGTGGTTCGGTGAAGTATGGCCGCTACAATGGCTTCAAGCTCTGCTTTCCACACATCGAATGATGATGAAGCACGCTGTGCGCAGGTTGATATCTGTTTCCATCATCCAAGCAAAGCTTGACTGAAGGCGTGTATCACAAGCCTTCTTGGCCTCATATCTCGTCCAGGGAACACACGGCTTGGTTTCCGCCACTGGATGCAGCCTTGTTTCTTGGAGTTCTTTGCCTAGAATCATCCTGGCGCTGCTTATGCATTGCCACACCCTCGACCCTGCATGCCTGGGAGGCTACTAGGCCAGGCGTCGAAGGAATGCCAACGCGGCAGCCGATATACCCGCTCTTTGCTAGCTCGTGCAGATGTCTCAAGTGGGTTGCCCCCCTTACTTAGTCATGTACGATGCATTGTCACTCGAGTGAACTGGTTCTCGCTCTCCCGTTACTCGGGTGTAGCCCGGCCCGCGCCACCGGTCATCAGGTCGGTTGCCTTGTGCAATCGTCGACGGTGGTACAGTCCCAAGCCCTTGCATGGACACAAGGCTTACCCGAACACTTTAATTCGACAGACTATAACTTTGGTGGTGGTGGTGAGGTCATGCCTGCTCTCTGGTCTTCTTGGCCCGGCGCTTTCAGTGCCGACTCGAGAGGTTGTCCAACAACTCACGGCAAGCGATTCGTAGATTCCAAAACCCGCCACGTTCCTAGTACATGACCCCTTTCTGTAGCCCTGCTAGCGGAGTAGGCGATGGTACTACACATGCAATCCCACTGCATTAGACAACTAAAGCCACCGCGGAAACCCGAACTTGGCCATCTACATCGCGTTCTCCAGATGAAGAAAACCCCCCTACAACAGCCAGAGTACATCATAAAAGACCATCACCAAGCACTTACCCAACTAACACATCTCATTTATTTCCCCCTCAACCCACTGCATGGCATTAGTACGCGGGGGCACAGTACTGATTCAAATGAAGTATGCATCATTGCGACCAAGCTTCATACCTCAGTCAACTGGGGTACTGTACAATTAACCAGGCCAGCGGACATGATCCATGATCGGTTGCGAACCTTCCAAAATGGTAACCCTCCCCTCCCTCCCTGCCCTGGCAATGAAGAGATCCCTCTTAGCTTTTTTTCTTTTTTGACATCCCACTACTCTCCAGAGAATCCGTATCCAAATGCAAGTCCCCTCATTCCCAATTTTCTCCAAATAAGTCACCGGACACTGTTCTTCTAAACACATCTATCAGAACTGCTCCATCGAGAATCCGCTATTCTGAAACGCTCGCTAGCTTTTTCAGATCTGATACACCGACAAGGGGACCGATCATGGGAGGACTGTTCCCCCCTTTGGGTTATGGAGAGAAGGTCCGGGGGTGATGTGTTTGTGGATTCAGGGTATATTTCGCGGACACGTGGGTGATGTTGCTCCTGCTATGACAGATAGCAAGCAGAGGATACGTTGACATGTTGTCGCCCACCCAACGTGGTCTCATCAGTGTAGCATCCTCGCATGTTATCGGTAAGGTCTATGCTAGTATACATGGCAGGATAAGGGGGGTCCAGGGATTGGATGACTAGGTCTATACATGATTTGAACTAAATTATAAAGTGAAATCAAGCGTGTTGTTTTTTAAAAATTCGGCTGAATGATTGATAAATGCGATGGGGGGGTAACAATAAGGTACTACTCGCCGATGCTCTGATCTTACCTCGCTTAGTGTCTTTGTTTGCTGCTGGAGATTGGATATAGGGGGGCTTTTGTGCGCAGATTCCATATATCGGCGGGTTGAAGCCGAATACTGGTTCGGAGTGTCACGCACGGTGGCAAGGCAAGGGGTGTTTTTTCATAGAGAATCTCTTGCCAACATCAAGAACAAGCTGAGTTACTGGTCATCTTTGGCGGACCTGAAGCTGCCCACACAAGGGACAAAGCGATCCGCTCGTTCGACACCTAGCAGTGTGTTGTGTCTACCTCATTTACTTAGTGCTTATATATCTGAAAGAACCACCATTTCACCGCCAGCAAGCGGGGCTCTATGCTTTGTTGTCGTACTCTGCAATTTTCGATAGCCCCAGCTCTACACGAGCATCCATCTGATTCAGACTCACGAACAAGAGGACAAGAGCCATAGCTCAACCAGCTCATCAATGCTGTAATGAGAATCTAAAGTGCCCTCATCCGTCTGCCGCATCTTCTTCTGCACGACAGTGTCAATGTTCGCCCGCTCTTCCGTACTAAGCAGAATCAACCGATCCTCGATAGTTGTGAATGGGCCATGGAACCTCGGATCGATAAATTTCCAGTATATTTCGTCGAACATGGAACTGTGGCGTGAAGCGAGGCAGATCCAAAACAATCCCGTCTCCAGAGATTTCTCCATGGCGGCTGATAGCCGTTGAGATGGAGATAATGAGTCGTCCTGGATCTTCTTGGCCTCACACTCTTTGAGGACCTCGGGGAATGTGTGGAATCTCGGCATGAAGCGCACCAAAAACTGATCAACATCAATATCCCAGTCTTCTGGCTTCTCCAATAAGAGCCACCAAGGCGCCGCATATGTGTATTCGACGGGAGCAGAATAGGTGAACTCCCAATCGACGACTCCAGTAACAGCCAGTCTTGATGCATCGACAAGAACATTGTCAGGACGGAGGTCATCACAATACAGCCTGAAAGGACCCTGGCAGTGTTCCTTGGAGATATCACGCGACAGCTTGCGGAAAAGACAACGCGCAATGTACTTCTTCCGGCAGTCAGCTTCATCAGTTACCGCGTCATTGCGCTGTAGCTCCAAGTGGTGGAAATGGTGACGCACAAGCTCCTCAAAATAATCTGCTGCATTGTCGAAGCGCTGTTGCCCAAATATACTGTGCGGAATATTAGAGAACTGAGCAAGTCGATTCATGTTAAAAGTGAATGGTCGTTTCTGCACCGTCCACTCGCCGGCCTCGTCCAGTCGAACAGCTCCAATGAAGGGGAACTCAGGCTTTGACAGCTCCAGCAAGATTTCAGCCATGGCCATATAAGCTCCTCTCAAGACAGAAATATTGATGTTCGAGCGCAGCGTGACTATCTCCCGGGTCGGTTCCCTAATATACCCACTCAACGGCTTGCCCTCAATGTAGTCCATCACGATGTATGGGCCAACCACACACTTGCCAGATCCCAGAACCTTTGGAACAGGAACTCTGGTATGCTGGGCAACATATTGCATGATAGCGACCTCGTCTTCGACCTTCTCACTACGGGCGACGATCCGACCAAGAGCAGTGAATCGAACCACGACACGATGGCCGTCATCGTAGGTCACGCGGTAACAGACATTGAAAGCGCCATTGGCAAGCGGCGCGGCTTTCACAGGTGTGCCAGCACGGTGGCGGGAAGCAACCTTCCCCGCCAGCTCCTCGGGTGAATTTCTCAGTAGATTCTGAAGCCACACTTGAAAGATCAGATTTGATCTCTCTTCTGCGAGGTGGTCAAAGTCCATGTTGCATGCAATGTGAGGGTGAATCTGTGGAAGGAGTCAGCAGAGGCATCGCACAAAAAACATCTTAGGGAGGTGTTGGAAGCGCGCTCACCGCAATTCGTCCGAGCCCAATTGGCCGAGAATTTTTGTCGTAGCCAATACTCACCTCCTATAAAGCGCCTTAGATCCAGAGCATCTTGACTTCATCTCATCCGGTCAAGGTTTTTCATCGATTGATTGGTAGCTGGCCTGTCAGGTAGCTTTCTTATAAACATACACAGTGAGATCCAACTGATGTGCCTCTACCCATGATGTCCGTCTTATCTGCTCGAACAAGGTAGGCCATGAAAAGAACCACACAGTTTCCCCATGAGCATGATGTGCAGTAGTCTGGGTATCTTTTTTGGTGATGTGTGTTCGCTGTAAGAACACAAGTTCTTAGATTCATGTCTAGATCGAGTTTCGAATCATATGAGGTGGGGTTGAATATCGGAAACCCCAGAGGATTAGGTGGTGTGAGAAGAAAAGAAAAAAGATGATGAGGGAGGCACTACTACGGTATAAGCCTGGTGGTACCGCTCTGTGGCATGCCGCTGTAGATAGTAGTAGGTAACTACAGTACACTAACTGCACTGCAGGACTCCGTCCGTCATAGAAGGGAGCAACCCGTTGAGGAAATACTATACATCTCCACCTCCGTTGGCCGCCTGATCACAACAACACTACAGGTTGAAGAATAGCGACTGGCCATGAGTATCAACTCAGGCTCCTTTGCTGTATTAGCACTTGAGATCCTCCAATATTGGTAGTGACACAGCATGCCACTCAATGATTCGCTCCCAACCTGGACAATATCGTCAATCGGTGCTACTATCACGTCAGTCGATATCAAGCGGGGTAAGACAGCCTCCAAGCAACACTTCCTGAACCACCAATGTCTTTGCATTTCAAGCCTTGCGACATGCTGTGCCAGCTGACCGGATCATAAATTTCGTATACGTTCATTGAGTACACACACGACATGGCGATCCCAGCACCTTTCGAAAATCAGACAGCTCACGGCGATGTTTCCACCGAGCCGCTAGAGGCATACGTCCATCCACCGGAGACAACGCAACCGCGTAAGTACTCTTCCGACTGGCCATACGGCGGCAGAGCACACTGACAAGCGAGCCAGTCGACTATGCAGACCTCGTCACACTTGATCTCTCTCTCTTCGACACCCCAGAAGGCAAATCCAGACTAGCGGAACAATTGAAGCAAGCCGCGCATGAGGTTGGTGGGTTTCTCCTCTTCCAAAATGCATAAGATGGCTCCGGCCCAGGAAAGAGACCAAGCTAAGAAAGAGGATAGGGTTCTTCTACATCACCAACTTCGGTCTCACCCAAGATCAGATTGACCGACAGTATGCCATCGGGCAAGAGTTCTACGCGTTGCCCTTCGAAGAACGATTGAAGTATCGCGCTCCGCTTGAAGAAGGGAACTACAATGGCTACCGCCCGCTCGGGAGCGTTGAGCTCGCCCCGGGCCTGCCAGACAAGGTGGAGATGTACAACCTGTTCAAGTTCATCCCACAGACGCAGCGCACCCAGCCGGACGTGATTCACCGGCACTGGAAGGAGATCGAGCAGGTTCATCGCCATATCCATGAGAAAGTAGCGCACAAGATCCTCCGGCTCCTCGCAAGTGTGCTGGAACTACCGGACGAAGAGGCTTTGGTCAGAGGCCATCGTTATGAGGCGAATTGCGACAGCGCGCTCCGCTATATGATGTCGAGGGCCAGGTCGGCGGAGGAGAATGAGCGGTGCAATCATATCTACACACGGGGCCATACGGATTTCGGAACCCTGACGTTTGTCTTTCAGCAGCCAGTGGCAGCGTTGCAAGTCAAACGGTCGGCGGAGGCAGAGTGGCAGTGGCTGAGGATTCCCAAAGGCTATGCGGCGGTCAACATTGCCGATATTGTAGAGTTCCTATCAAATGGGTACTTGAAGAGTGGGGTCCATCGTGTCGTGTCTCCGCCAGAGGATCAAGTCGGGCTGGATCGGTTAGGACTGCTCTATTTTGTAAGACCGTCAGATGAGATGAATCTTGGGGCCATCGATAGTCCGCTGCTCAGGCGATTGGGGGTTTACTCGCACGGAAGGCAGCATGAGGAGGAGGTAGCTATCCCTGCCACCGAATGGGTAAGGGCAAGGGTCAGGAAAAATTGGGTGAAGGCTGAGTCGAAAGAGGTTCTCTCGTTGGGTCGGTTTCAGACGCAGGTAGTGTACGACTAAGTCTCTTGCAGTCGACTGTGTTAGGGTACTGTCTCAATGAAAGGAGGATCGCTCTGTATCCGAAAGTTATGACCAGCCCGAGCTTCTAGCTATGGGCTACACTGAGAGTGAAGCGCGGGGTAACTTAATATCAGCTCAGACCTTCCTCGTCAGCAGCTCGCGCCACGTGCCAAATGCGGGGTAGCAGCCATTAGTGGGGCGTGCGGGGGGCTTTAGCGTTAGAACACGAGAGACTGGCTGACAAGCAAGCAGAGATACAACTCTACACAATGGTGCTCCACGGGAGACAAGCATTGCTACACTTCGGACCAAACCATGGGACATGTGCATGTCCCGGTCACAAGTGTGACATCCACAGTGAGCTGAGAACTCTGAAAGCATAATGGATAATGATAGCTCATGAACCAGTGCGCTCATGGATTCGAGGGTTAGAATGCCGAGGATGTCACCATTCCCTCGTAGTCTGACCGCGGAAATCGAATTTTTTCATAAGATATAGGGTTGAACCACGATTCGAGTGTGCCAGGAATACCATCGGTGGGCGCACACATTCTTCACGCTGGCGGTTGATGAGTCTTTCCACGCTGCGGTATTCGCTGCCTGATTTCCCAGGCCAATACATTCCAATGGTATCTTGCGTCCAATTGGAATCATCTTCGAGCCAACGCGGTAGCATTGTGCTATTCGATAAGTAGCGAGAGGTACCGGAAGAAGTGAAGTTGGAGTCCACGATGTTTCTTATCTAAATCTTGCTGGCGACTGGCCATCTCACGGAATGCTCGACGATCTCATCGGCCCGATAGCGAAAAGTATACATGAGAACTCATTGCCAGTCTAGGACAGCTGTAATGCAAGTTGATTCTATATAAGCTGTTTGTTGACAATAGAAGTTGAGCGGCATCGCTGCACCATGAGTCGTCTAGTGAACTGGTTGCCGACAGTGGCAGCATTTATCGCCTTCATACTGACACTAATATGCCTCTTCGCGGGGTCACATACGAGTGTACTGCCCGACACCTCGATCCTAACAGTGAGTAAACCTGCGCTCATCGCCAAAGTGACACCAGATGAGCTCAAAGTTGAGACAAGCCTCTGACATCTACGACAGATCTATACCTCAAACATCAGCCAAAGCACGGAGATCGCTGGTTTCTACTCCATCCATGTCATGTCATACTGCGAGGGAGAACTGCGGGTGAATCACAAGGACTTTAACAACTGCTCCGATCGAACGTTGTTCTTTTCGTTTGACCCTGATGCTGCGATCCGGGCCGACACCGGGAATACTACCACCCCGGCGGACTTGGGATGGCCCAGCGCGATCACCGACGACTTTTACGCCTTCCAGATGACATCGCGCAGTATGGGAATATTTTATTGTTTGGGAGCCGGAGTGGCCGCCCTGGCGCTGTTTGAAAGGGCATGGTGGGCGCTCAGACGCGGTCCGCGACAGACGGTGACCGAAGTGTCGTCCATGATGGTATGATCCCGCCCGTCTTGCGATATGTGGGTTCTCAACGGATGATACTGACCCGTGCGCAGTTGAGTTTCGTGATGCTTGGGATCTCGTCCATCATTGCGACCGTGATTGCATTCCAGTTTGTCAAGCTGGTCAGCTACCATGGGCAGGACGCTGGAGTAACAGCGGAGTACGGGCCGCAGTTCCTGAGTCTCACTTGGGCAGCAACAGGGCTGTATCTGATTGGGGGCACGACAGGGTTAGTCATGGTGTTGATCGACCGCAGTCGACCTCCAGTGGACTATGTTCCTGATGACGAGGATGGATTTGACGAAGGCCCTGACGATCTGCTGGAAGACCATGCCAAATCGGAAGTCCACAGTCACCACAGTGACGACTCGGTAACATTGCGTTCACACGAATAGCACGGGGCTACCAGGTACGGAGTAAGGAACAACGCGGGAATATCCAACGGGACTGTAAAACGAATCGGAAGAGAGAGTAGAGAAGAAGGCGACAAGGGGGGCCGATCGGACGGATGGAAATGGGTGGAAAGTGAGGGAAAAACTCGATTGGGCCGGGCGGGAAACGGCGATGAAGCCATTGGTGTGTAACTGCAAATAACTCCCTAGTAATTAGTCCCATTGTATTATTACTACTAGGTACTTACTACTTACTGTACTGTACTGAACATTGAACTTGCATTTGTCGTGCCTTTTCCTTTCTATTCTCATGTATGAAGCGAGAAATCGAGAAGGATCGAGAAAGCTGGGGGAGACAATAAGTGTATAAAGACCCACATGGATTGTCTTCGAATTTTGGAAGATGGAATTGGACCGAGTCGATGAGGGCCGAATTCAACATGGAGCCAGCAATTGGAAAGACGAGGTGGAGGAGAGAATAACGTCACTGGGTGGGGGAGACCGAGAAGACCGAGACTACGACGTAAGTGTAAGGAAGTTGTGTACTGTGTGTGTAGTTCTCAGCCAGACTGACACCGGCAGCGGTGGGTCTTTCCTCCTCGTTTTCCCCAGCGGCATGACGATGTGATGTTTGATCGAACGACTAACTACCGCCCAACTGTCTGATGATGATGATGATGACATTCTATCCCTCCCTCTCACCACTGGCCAGAAATCATCCTCATCATTCCAAGAACATACGAGTAAGCCGTACTCGGGAAGAAATCTTCGTACCCCTCGTGTCCTTTGAATCCTCAAGCCGAGTTGTGCCAAGGGAAGACATTCCTATCCGGGCCGATGTACTCCGCAAACCCGGGGAAGTGCAGAATGACCAGGGTAGGGTAGTAGTGGTAGTGTAGTACTAGCCTCCTAGGAGTCTAATATAGACCAGTCGTAGGAGACGGAGTGGTTTCAAGATCACTGGTATCAACCTGACTGGTCGGGAGGGATCGGGAGACCGGCCGTGGCTGATTGGGGTTGAATACCTCCTTAAGGATGATTATGGAAGCATACCACCAGACAGAGTCAGAAGGATAGGTACATCCACCCTGCTAGCTGCAATCATGCAAGTGCATTGGCATCCATGATCATCATACACGTGTAGTAAGTAGTTTAGGTAGAATATCCTGTTTAGGATCACCGCACGGTTCCAGTTGACGGTATGGTTGTTCGTTTGGTGTAGGGGTCGGTCCCCTCACGTCATCCTCGGATTGGTGAGAGTCTTGTTTGAGAGAGTTGAGGTCATTGTCCTGCTCCACCGACCAATGATCTATGCAATCCGGCTGCCAATTCCATGTCCCGCACGTACCGCGACTGAGCCTTCTCTATGGTTCTATCGTGCCTGCCTACTTGCCTACTTGCCTGCTTGCCTGCTTGCCTGCTTCACCAGTACCGTACCCCAGTATGTGATGCTGCGCCCCTCTCTTTCCCCTCCCCTCCTTCCCCTCTTCGGTTTGCTCCTCCCTCCTTTGCGGCTTCATATAATACCCCTCTAATCCCCCCCTCCTCAATCCTTTTGTTCTATTCCCTTTTCATTCATCATCAACATCAACCACTCTCACATCAATCATCCTCTACCTCCCGCATTCTCTCTTCCTATCAGAAGACCCCTCTCACCAAGACTACTACCTAGTACTTCCCCACTCTACATCTCTTGACTACTACCAATCATCCTCTACCCCTTATACCTCATCACAACACTTCATCATGGCTAAGAAGGCTATCCAATTCGGTGGTGGTAACATCGGTCGTGGCTTCGTTGCCGAGTTCCTCCATGAGGCTGGCTACGAGGTCGTCTTCGTCGATGTGATGGACCAAACCGTCAACGCCCTTCAGAACGCAGACTCGTACGAGGTCACCGAGGTTAGCGAGGAAGGTGAGAAGACCAAGACCATCACCAACTTCCGCGCCATCAACTCCAAGACCCACGAGAGCGATGTCATCCAAGAGATCGCCACTGCCGATGTGGTCACTTGTGCCGTCGGTCCCAACATTCTCAAGTTCATTGCCCCTGTGATTGCCAAGGGTATCGATGCGCGCACAATGGAGAAGCCCGTGGCTGTCATCGCCTGCGAGAACGCCATCGGTGCTACTGATACACTCCATGGATTCATCAAGCAACACACCGCCGAAGATCGCGTCGAGACTCTGTATAACCGTGCCCAGTTCGCCAACTCGGCCATCGATCGTATTGTCCCCAACCAGCCTCCCAACGCCGGTCTCAACGTCCGCATCGAGAAGTTCTACGAATGGGTTGTCGAGAAGACTCCCTTTGGCGATGTCGGCCACCCAGATATCCCTGCCATTCATTGGGTTGACCACCTCGAGCCCTACATCGAACGCAAGCTGTTCACCGTCAACACTGGCCATGCTACCACAGCCTACTTTGGTCACATCCGCGGCAAGCGCATGATCGCCGAGGCATTGGCTGACCCGGAGATCAAGGAGATGGTGCACAAGGTCCTTGGCGAGACTGCCTCCCTCATTACCGACAAGCACGAGATCTCAGACGAGGAGCAGAAGGAGTACGTTGACAAGATCATCCAGCGTATCTCCAACCCTTACTTGGAGGACAACGTTGATCGTGTGGGACGCGCTCCACTGCGCAAGCTCTCCCGCAAGGAGCGGTTCATCGGACCTGCTGCCCAGCTCGCCGAGCGCGGTCAGAAGTACGATGCCTTGATGGATGCGGTCGAGATGGCTCTGCGCTTCCAGAACGTGCCTGGTGACCAAGAGAGTGCCGAACTCGCCGACATCCTCAAGGAACAGTCCCCTGAGTCGGCCACCAGCCATCTGACCGGCCTGGAGGAGAAGCACCCTCTGTACCCCGCGGTCCTCGAGCGGGTGCGCAAGGTGCAGGGAGTCAAGGTCTAAACGGATCTAGTCTCCGACGGTTATCTCGCCGAAGATGAGGTACTTTGTTATGTTTTACGATGTTCACGAAGATCATTGCGAGTTCAGCAATTCCGAGTTGATCACGGATCTGGCATCCGGAAGCATGTACAACCGGTTCAGCCGCGGGACGGCGAAGAACCGTACGGGATATGGCGAACAAATGGTCGGCGCGAACGGAGCATATGGGATACCAGCATAGGTTTTGCGTTGTTTCTTTTTTTACTTGTGATACTTCATGTACTTACCGAGCAATCAGCATTTTATATACCAAATGCATGAATAAGCTATGAACTTTTCTTGCGTCTCGTAGTTTGTAGATGTCTCGTGTAGTAACTACAACTTACTATCCACCCACTTGGGATGTCTCTTCTCCACAAAGGCCCTCAGCCCCTCTTTGATATTCTCCCCGGCGTTCAATTTCTCCATCCACTCCTCCATCAGCTTGACCGTCGCCTCATCGGCGCCCTCCCGCTCCCACCCCCGATTCACGCCCGCGCGACTGACCACCACGGCATCGGGACTATTGGCCGCGATGCGCCCCGCGACCTCCAGGGCGCGGTGCACGACATCCCGCTCGGGCTCCCCCTCAGCATCGATCGGCACGACCTCGTTCACGAACCCCCACCGCAGCGCCTCGGCGGCGCTCACCTTTCGGCCCGTGAGCACCATCTCCATCGCGCGCTGGCGGCCCACCGTCCGCACCAGCCGCGGCAGCGCCCCGGCCCACGCCACCACTCCGCGCGCCACCTCCGGGAACCCAAAGTAGGCCCGCTCCGACGCGATCACCAGGTCCGCGTTCACGGCCATCTCGCACCCGCCCCCGAGGCAGAGCCCGTTCACCGCCAGGATGATGGGCTTCTTGCCCGTGCGTCGCGAGAGGCCCCCGAAGCCGGTGGCGGGGGCTATGGGGTTGGACTTTTTGGTGGTGGTGGTGGTGGTGGTGGTGGTGGTTGAGAGCCATTCTTTGGAGGTTAGTTTGATTTCATGTTTGATTCTGAGGGATTGGGGGCGGGGGGGGAAATGATTGAGGGGATTAGAGGGTTCCGGGGGGGATTGGGGATTGGGGATTGAAGGAGAACTTGGGAGAAGGGCGACTCGACTCGACTCGACTCACCTTTCAAGTCGGCGCCCGCGCAAAACGCCTTCCCGCTGCCGGTGAGCACGCCCACCCGTAAGGCTGGGTTGGCGTCCATCCAGCGCCAGATGGCGTCGAGTTCGGCGTGGCCTTGCGTGTTGATGCAGTTGAGGTCGCGGGGTCGGTTGAGGGTGACGAGGAGGATGTGGGGGAGGGGGAAGGAGAGGGAGGCGTATTTGGCTGTTGGGGTGGTCATTTTCTTTGGGTGTTGGTTGGGGGTTTGGATTGGGATTGGGATTGGAATTGAGATCTTGTCTTGATTTGATTGTGTGAGGGAGGGGAGGACTGAGGTTGGGATATGTTTATGGTATTGTTTGTGGTGGTTGTTCTGGGCTATGTAGTATTTATGGGGAAGCTTTCGGGAAGGGGACTGGATGTTGGAGACTCTGCCCTGGTGGAGTACGAACGGCAAGGTGGAGTTGCCGAGGTTCGACCTACGTAGCTTACTTTTCACTCTCTGGGCTATGCTCGGTTTGTAGATTGAGGCTTTTGACCACTTATCATTATACGCAATTTACAGCGTGTTATGAGCTTGGAGAGTATTAACAGAGTGTTTGAAACAAAAACTCCAACAGATCTACTACACCATACACTAGTCAGATCAAGCTATGCATCATTCATGTCGGTCAATACAATTCAAATCACATCAACATTCATCCTGCCCTTCCAAACGCCGCCCAACTCCGTTACAAAACACACACGCACACACACACACACACACACATCGGGTATTCGTGTAGCAAATCACCCCTTGTTGATCCAGCCACTGTGCACCATAAAGTCATAGATTCGACTGGTCTTGGCACTGTCGATCTGCGGAGTTGTCAGTACATTGTCGATGGCCAGAACGACAGAGCATTTACCTTGCAAATAGTCCGTGCATCCTTCTTCTTCAAACTGCCCCCCTGCTTCATCGACTCTTTCAGCAGTGTCTCCTTGATGACCAAATATGGCTTTGGTTGAATATGAAGCACATTGCACACCTCTACCTCCTCCTTTGTCAGCAAATGCAGATCCGGAGCAGCTTCGTTCTCCAGCTTCCACGGAATCACCCCGTTCAGCGGCTGCACAATGAACTTCGTCTTCGCCGGCGGCGTCGGCGTGCTGATCCCATCCCCGTTGGAGGCGAACATCCGGTCAAAGTCGTTCATTGGCTGACTGGGAGGTTCGGGAGCTTTGGGGGCACCAGGGGTGCCTGAGGCCTTCTGGAGCCGCAGTGGCAACTCTGGCGTGGTCAACTGACTAGCCGCCGACGGCTGTTCGGGCTGCTGTTGCTGCTTCGGCCGTGTGCTTGCGAATCGGTCAAATGAGCCCTGCGGCGCCATCCTCTGGGCGCGCTGTTGCTTCTCCTGCTCGTATTTCTCGCCACCTTTCAGATCTCCGATCCCCATCTGCCGCCATTCCTGTAGCTGCGCGATGGCCAGACGCAGGTTGTGCTCGTACTCCAGTCCCTTGTTGAACTCTTCAAAGTCGTCGTGGTTCATCATCCGGGCAAACGGTTTCGCCTTGTTGAGCAGATCCCGTTCCTCTTTCGTGCGCTTCTTCTCTAGCGCCGTGTTCTTCCGGTACTCGAGCAGGTTGTGCTCAAAGAGGACCTTCTTGCGCTCCGTGCGCGCCGTCAAGCGCGAGTTGTAAATGTCCACCACCGTCATCTTCAACTCCATCTCCGCATCCAGCTCACCGTTCGCGGTCTCGCCCGCACCAGGCTCAAAGGTCATATGCTGCACCGCCTCTTCCGCATCGTTCATAAATTCGGTCTCGAACTCCAACCGACCCGGCATGTAACCCTGCACTTCGTGACACGCTGGAACACTAGCAGTGGGCTTCTGCTTGGGCGTGGTCGGGGGAGCGGCCTTAGCGGCCTCTTTGCGTTCCTCGATGCGTCGCTTCTTTCGCGATTGGAACTCTTCCTTCGAGATGGAGTCGGACAGGCGGGTGTCGTCCGGATCGGCGCGCTCTGGAAGCGGGAAATTGGGGCTGTCAATGTATGTACTGATGTAGTGGTCTCGAACCTCCTCCTTGGTGCGGTAGCCTCCAATGTGATCGGCGATGTCGGCCCATGATCCCAGCCCGTAGATGTCAGCACCTTCCAGCAACAAAAGCTCCTCGTCAGCACCCCAGTCTTCCTGGAAGATGGGCACTGAGTTCTGCTCGATCACCTGGAATGGATGTGTGGAAGGGTCATGGTTTTTGGATTTCTCTCCGGCTGCGAAACAGGGAACGCAGAGGTCATATTCGTGGCAGGAGGGATGGGCACAGGATACGCGAACCTACAAGGCGCGGACGAGGTTAGGTCTTGTAAACAACCACAGGCGGCATACAGGCATATCTGAAATATCAGAGGGGAGGGTATACCGTCGAAGTCACATCAACCGAGCAGATATCGCAATGATATTTGGTGCCTGCTTCGGTGCCGCGCGAGGCGGTCTTCTTCCGTATTACACCCATCGATCGCGGTTCCCTCTCATCCTCCACTGTTCCCGTGTCCGTTGCGACCACACCGACGCGCCCTCCAGTCAAGGAAGAGGGCTATAGTTTATTTTAAGAAGAAAGCTTGCGCGGGGAATAGATTTGGGGGAGGGGACGTTGAGTTGCCGATAAGAGACCGCAGAGTGGTCGAGACCGCCCAAGGGATGCAGTGCTGTCTGAAAGGGTGTCTCCGCCGAGTTACCGGGTAGGAATGAGTAGGGAAATGCCGGGGAAACAGC